AAAATAGGCAGAGAGAAGATGTTTAAAATGCAGATCTTATGGTCTTAATAGAACCATATGCATAGAGGACCAGTTCTCTTCTGTAATTGTGTTCAGAGATGTTCCCCAAATCTTGCCGACTATGTGAAATCCACTGTTAATATGCTCTTAGAGTCCCATTATGTCTCTCCTTCTTAACATTTAGCAGGGAGTTTTAACTGTCCACTTATTTTGTGATTGTTTAATCCATAAAGGTCTCTCTCTGTGTAGAGCCCTCATTAGACTACAGGCTCTATAAAGATGGATATTAGATTTCTACTGTATTATTACTATGTCCCATAGTACTAAGCAATGTGATTAGTGTATAATAAGTGTTCAAGAAATATTTACTGGACATACGAGTGGACATTTTAAGGTAGTTTGGAATATTGTTTTAAATAAGGTACTTCAGTTTAGCCCAATCTTTATTTATTATTTATTAGCTACTGAAGAACAGCTGATAATCACTTACAATGTTCTTCTTTCTGTTTGTCTTACAGTCAACTTTGACCACTTTGAAATTTTACGAGCCATTGGGAAAGGCAGTTTTGGGAAGGTGAGAATCAAAATGATTTAACTACCGAAAGGGTTATGTAGTTCAGGGAACAGAGAGTTCCAGAATATTTAAACTATCGAGTTACTGGGACCACAAAGAATGATAATTCAGAGATGTTTTTATAATGGATTTTTATAAAATTGTCACCACAGTTTGAGGAAAGCATGTGACGAGCAGCTGTATAATGAACATATACTGTTCTTAGAATTATCTCAAAGTCAAATCTGTTTCCTCTCACTAGAGTTTAAGACTTTCTCTCTATTACAAAGGAGGGAGTAAGATTTCGGAATCATTTTCAAATTGTACCAGTACCTTCCGTAATACTTACCTTGTCAAATAAGAGTTAAATCTTTTTAAGTGAGAAAGAAGCCACCCGATTTCTGGTTTTCCCCCAGTTGTACCATGTTTTTATTTTCAAAAAAACCTCCCATGAAAAATATACATATCCGGTCTAATTTTTTTGTAAAAACCTTCTAGATTCAAATGCTGATTATTTCTTTCTTGGTGGAGACATACTTTAAGAGAGAATAATATTTCATATTGAGCTTGCATTTTAAAATTATCTGCTGTCTAGTTTATCAAGCACTGCATGAACCACTAAAAGAATTTCAAAAACATGGACATTGCTTTTAGTGTTTTCCCAGTGCTGAAAGTTGTTTTTGGTTATATCAACTATGGTTGTAGACTGAAATTCTTTGTACAGTATCATTCAGCTTGACCGGTTAGCCATGCCCATTCATTTCAGTCACTCAAAGCAGAATAAGGACATCATTTGCTCTGCAAAGATTCCTGACAATGAGGCAGTTATTGTCTCTAAAACGCTGTCAAAAATAAAAAACAAACAAACAAACAAAAACCTCCAAAGCAAAAACAGGCACACTTGAGAAATCAGATATTTAGAAATTGACTTGGTACAGGAGAAGAAAATGAAGTTTTTACTCTTAACTCAGAGCTAAGTAGCATCTTTAGCATCAAAGAATTTGCAAGTGATAAAGCCCCAGGCCTTGCTAAAGAACGAGTTTTGTTCTGTCTCTCTCATCATTATGATCCGTCATCTCCATAAATCACTTTCTCACTCTGGTTTGGACAATTAGGTCTGCATTGTGCAGAAGAATGATACCAAGAAGATGTATGCGATGAAATACATGAACAAACAAAAATGTGTCGAGCGCAATGAAGTGAGAAACGTCTTCAAGGAACTCCAGATCATGCAAGGGCTGGAGCATCCTTTCTTGGTTAATTTGTGGTAAGTATTTTTACCGAACCTCTAAATAGAGACAGTCCCACCTTCACTCCCAATACTGTTACGTAAATGCACCTTGATTTCTAGGTACATTTGCAAAGTCCTCATTCAAGGACTCCTATTCTTTTTGGTTTCTGTTCTCCTTGGTTTCTTCTATTCTCCTTGATAATAAAACAGAAGCGTTGTTTTATCATCACCAATAAATACTGCTTGGTTCAGTTGTTACGGTCCCCTTTTTCCTTGAAGTCAATTTTTTTTTAGCATTATAATTAACTAAGCTGAAGGAAGGAGTTTGAATGTCTTCTCACTCAGATACTTTTACCCCATTAACTGTGAGGCAGAGACTAGTAACACTGGCCGACATAAGATTGATCTTTAGAATTTGCACAAAAAGCACTTTCTCCCTAAAATTATTGGCAATAAAACTGGTTGTCTTGCAGCAGCCAACAATCTGTGAGTTGGAAAAGGATAGGTGCTGCCTTTCTCACCAAATAGGTTTTAACAGAGGCAGAGCTAAGTTAGTGATCTGCTCTCAAAGCCATTATCACAATCCAAGGCTTAGAAAATGGCAAAAAAGCTTACATTATCTATTACTTCCTGCTCTTGAATGTGAAGGTCTTTCTGTGGTTCACTCATTCTGCTCTACGTTTTAATGCAGCCATTATGTTAAGAGCCCATTCTTAAAGCTAATTCAGTATGACTGTTATTTAAATGTGCATACCAAGCAGTGCTTACTTATGAGCAAAGGCAAAAAAATAAAAAATAAAAAGCCTTTATTCAGAGAATACTAATGGAAAAATAATTGAAATGTCACTGTGTATTTAGGGACATTCCTCTGGAGGAATCAGTGCATTAAACCTGTCTCCTCCATCTTTAATTAACACAGTTCACTTAATATACGATTTGCTCACACACTGTGCCACAGTTAAAAAGAAGATGGTTCTGAGACTTGGAAATAGGTCTGTTACAGTTTATGCACTATTCAGACATGGCAGAGTCTCATTTTGGCTCAGGCTCAGTGCATTAATCAGTATTTTCGAGTGGTCTGTTCACAATGCAGCTATGTAAAGAGTTGCTTCCCCATCCTTAGCAATCATCAAATTGCCATTTTTTTGCCCCTCTCGCCTCCCTGAGAGTGACGAAGTGCTTCACAGCCTCTTTTTGTTCAAAGTCACATTTTCCTTCTTCAAAAGTTCGACCAACTAATTTTCTTTCTTAAGACCGGGAACCCTGCATAAGGACATACATACTTAACATTTTACCCTTTCTTGCTTGTCTCTCATTGTTGAGTAGGCAAAGTTGATTTTATTCTAGTCCCATTTTTTTTCTACAACATAGGTATTATGAGACCTTAAGCTGGCCAAAGTTTACAGACTTCACTATTTGTAACATGGTGTCATTCCAGACCACATTCTGTCCTCCATGCATGCTGACATGGTGAGAACATGTCACAACATATTATCCTTCTCTTCTCACACTGAATCTCACAGTAGAACATTGGGCACCATTAATGTTGATAGAAGAGAGAGAGGAGATGCCCCTTCCCCATGATTCTAGAAAACTGTGAGGGGGACATTCTGAAAAGTACAACAGAAAGTCCTTTTGTCTTTCAAACCCTGAGACAAAGATCTTCAGAATGCATATTAATTTCTTCTAATAAATGCTTTCTGCCTTAGTAACTATATAGCACAGTAAATATAAGTGACTCTTTCCACAACTATCACACTTCTGGAGGTAAATGTTAATGACTCTTTCTACAACTATTACACTTCTGGAGATATAAATGCGAGCAATTGTTATCACTTTCAAGTCACACTATTCTAAGAGAGGGTTAATGTGTGTAACTTGCGTTGTTTTTATGAATGAAATGAGACAAAGTGCTATGCTCAGTGCCCAGCATATAGTAAGCATCTTACAGATAGAAGTTTTTTTCTTTCTTGCTACATTAAGGGGTAGCATTCTGAACATGCCCATCACTGATGGGCCAGTGTGAACATCCAAAAGACAAATGTGAATGGTGCTTGGCCCCAAAGCATCATGGGAAGCTGTGTGTGTTGTGGGGGAGGGGGCCAGATCTTCAATTCATTCTCATGAAGAGCTTTATGTTTGTTTTGTTTTCTACCCTCATTGTGCAAATCAAAGAAGAAAATCAAAGATTCCCCACTATATTATGTACGATTTAATCAAGATTTCATGTCTTGGGTTTAACTAGACTTATCTTTACATCCCCAAAACTTCAGAAGCCAAATCTCTTAAGAAGCACTGTATAAACAAAAAAGCAGCAATATTTTTGAACTCCTCTGTTATTGCTTTCAATAATCTCATGGATGCTCAAAATGCTTCTAACCTCAGTGGGTATGTTCAGAGAATTCTGGTTTTCAGGCAGAGGGAAAACACAAATTGTTTCTCTTCTAAGCAGGTTTTAAAAAAGATAGCGTATATGTATATAGGTGTAAATACATACATGTATATTTGAAACCATTCCATGTATTGCAGTCAACTTGAAAAACATCATCACATAGAAAAATGCAAATTCTCCAATAATCCTATCACCTTGAAACGATCACTCCTAAGATGTTGGTGTATATTTTCCAGTAAAATGTCTGTATTTGGTTTTCTATTTTTGATAATGTATTAGCCTCATTCACTTCTTCATTCATGTATACATTTACCGAGCATCACAGATAAGTTATAATTAGAATTGCCAGATAAAATACAGGATGCAGTTAGATTTGAATTTCAGACAAATAATAATTTTAGTGTACATTCCAAGTATCACATGGGACATACTTTAACTGAAAATCATTTATTATTCAAATTTCTAATTTAAGTGGGCATCTTGTATTTTTAGTTACTAAATCTGGCAACCTAATTGTAACAGAGACCCATGCCGTGGGGATGCAGTGGTAAGCAGGAGTGGACAGAGTCCCTGATCTACCTGGCATTTTCATGAACCATGAGAGGCTGACCTTAGTCAAATGGCACATGAATGTAACAACTGTGAGTACATGAAGGGACTAAGTATAAAGAGGGGTGTGTGTGTGTGTGTGTGTGTGTGTGTGTGTGCGCGTGCGTGTGTGTGTGTGTGTTTTGAGGGGTTTCACGGAATGTGTGTGTGTGCGTGCGCGCGCGCGTGTGTATGTGTGTGTGTTTTGAGGGGTTTCACGGAAGGAAGGTCACTAGTCTGGGGGGCAGCAGTGTTAAGGGTGAAAGAGCATTCTGATTAAGATGCAACCTTCCCAGCCTCCATGGACCTGGTCCCACTCGGAACACAGTCATCAGATATAGGCCAGGTTACAAAGTGAAGGCTGCCTGACAGGGCTGGCATCCAGGAAAAGCAAATAAAATCTTCCTGCGAATCCCTCCTGAGGGCTAACAAAGCTCTGGCAACCTACAGACAAATGGACCCAGTTATGCCCAGCATAGCCCGTTTCCCAGGTGGCTTTTGTTAATTGAGATTAAGCCTGAAGCTGCACACAGCTCCTCAGGAAACCCAGGAAACCCAGTTCTCTTCTTACCCGTGCCTGTCATTCCTGCGAGCAGAAAGGGTCCACGTGTGGTTTGAGGAAATTAGGAGACGAGATGGTCTGTTTTAAGTGGAAAGGACCACTTGTTCTGGGAATATGAAAAAGGGGTCCTGTCAGATAGCTGAACATAGCTGAATAAATGGGTTCCCTGGAAGCAACCCCCATCATTTGTGACTCAGGAGTGCCAGTGTTACTTCAGGGAATCATAGGCTGTGAGAACTCAGGATAGCCTCAGAGGCACAGGCTCAATAATGATAGCTTCCCTGCCAATGGTGTTCTATTCCTTTGGGTTTTATATATATTGTCTCGTGTATTCATCCTAACAACTTAGGTTGATAAGGATTATTATTTCCATTTACACTTGAAGAAATGGAAGCTCAGAGAGGTTGAGTAATTTTCCCAGCGTCACATAGCCAGGAATTGGCAAAGCCAGGACTCACACCTCAAAATCCTGACGTCAAAGCCCCTGCTCTTCCTGCCACACAATACCATCCCCTATGGACATCTTGTGAGACACCCTTACAAAATATGGAAGGAAACAATTAATTTTGTTTATTGTCTTTCACACCACACAAGATTACAAACTCCATGAGGCAAGTAGTTTGTGTTTTGTTCAATGCCTCATTCCCCAGCTCCTACAGTCGTGTCTAACATGTAGTAAGTGCTCAAAAATATCTGTTGAATGGTTGGTTGGTTGACTGAATGGATAAAGTGAATTAGAAGTGGGACTGGGCTTCTGCCTCTTTTTTTTTTTTTTTTTTGCTCTTTTTCTCATTATGCCACTGTCACACTCACAGACATCCCTTCATATAATCTTGCCCTTCATATAATCTGCAGACCCTGAGGTCAGAGGGACCCGAGTTTAAATCCCTGCTCCACGTGTGAACTGAGCAAGTTACATTATATCTTTTGTTTGACTTCCTCATTCATAATTGGGAATAACAGCAATACCCATGGCAGAAAGTACTGTTATGAATAAGAATTTGTATATAAAGCAGCTCACACACAGCAGGTGCTTAATAAATGATTTTAAACAAAAAACTCAGTGAGGCCCCTTCTAGAAATGGAATATTCCCTCGGCCCCCATAGCTGGAGAAGATTTTTAAATGAACAAATTCACCTGTGCTTGAGCTGGCCTGGGCATTAGAAAATCTTTCATTTTGTTCTCAATTATTAAAAATTTAAATAATTATTTTGCATATAAAATACATATTTTTTTATTACAGAAATACAGAAAGTTCTCATGAAAATAGTAAATACACATGTTTTATCACTCAGAAATAACTGTATTACTTTCCTATGGCTGCTGTAACAAATTACCACAAATTTAGTTGCTTAAAACAGCACAAATTAGAGCATTTGAGATTAAAGCTATTTTTGTAATAAGATCAAGATTTGATTTTCCTTTTGCCTTGCAGTTATTTGCACTGAAAGTTCACAAAGAGATAAAACTAATCAGAACAGTGATTAACTGTG